AAATTGTCTGTGTCATCTTGAACTCATTTCAAAAACTATATCGTAGACACATCTACTAGTCCAAACGGACTTCGTTTGGATATAAAAAATAATTAAATGAGCGTCTCAAAAAGAGACGCCTAACTCTTTTTTTGAAAAATGTTTAAATTATTTCATTAACGTTTATTATATTTCGTCACAATTTTTTTAATATAATTTATATTATTTTTTATTAGAATATTTTTATATGGGTATGGCGTCAAAAAAATTTGACTCATTACATAAAATATAATAAATTAACATTGAATAAGGTTCAAGTTCGAATTATTTTTTTTCCTTTTAATCCAAGTTTTTATTTTATTAATTTGTTCTAATAAGAAAAAAATAATCCGAACTTGAATCATGGAATGTGGAGGGGTATCATGAGTTTGCGCATGTGTACTTATAGGACATGAAGAATCAATAGTACATGGGATATGGAAAGATGGCTTGATAATGTCATTAGAGAATGGATCAATACAAATGATGTCAATTTTAGTTACGTCATGAGTATTATCAAAAACAAAAAAAGAATAGAATGTGCTCAAGAAACACGACATGACGAGAAACATATAATTTCCTATTAATGGGATAAAAACAACGATAACCCTTTTGTCTTTACCCATAACCTAAGAAAACACAAATAGCATAGCGAGATATCAACTTACTACATTCGACTTCAGGACGAAGAACAAAGCAAGTACAATTAAAGACTCTCAATGAGGAATAATCCGGATGATGCCCATACATTGTTTCAAAGGGTAATAAACCTGAATTATGGAAAAATAGAATCTTATTAATTAACAAAACAGTAGTAAAAACAACTTCTCCCCAAAATTCATTGGGAACTTTCGCAGATAAGAGAAAGGAATGAGCAATTTCTACAATGTGTTCATGCTTTTATTCAACAACATCGTTTTGTTGTGGGGGGTATTAGTACACGAGATTTGATGAATTGTGCCATTAAAAGCAAGCAATTCAGAGAAATCAGTCGAAGTATAATCTCTACCTAAGTCACATCTAAAACACTTAATTACAGAAGAATGTTGAGTTTTAGTAAATGCTCTAAAAGAACAATAAATAGAAAGAAAGTTAACTTTTCGTTTCATAAGATAAACCCAACAATAAAAACTATAATCATCAATAAACAAAACATAATATCGAGACCCTCATTTTGTAGTAATAACAGCAGGCCCCACACATCAGAGTGAATAAGATCAAATTGAACAACAGAATGAGAAACACTTTGAGGAAAATGTAAAGCAGAAAATTTAACTAATTTTCAACCACTGCAATTAGAAACGTCATGAGTGTGCAAATCTCCCAATTGACCTTAGAAACTAAAAATTCCAAATGACTAGCGGAATCATGTCCAAGGTGAGAATGCCGTAAATAAATAGAAGACGACGAGAATACTTATATCATTTTGTTGTAAAGGTAGTATATCATCTCTAACTGATACTGTTTTGCAAAGTTAGACTAGTGTATTACTTCTGAAAGTGATCCCTAACTTATTTTGCTATTTTAAACTTCGTCGACTGTGTACCAATTGATTGCTTAACAGAATTATGAATCCAAGTAAGAATTTTCACATTGTTTGACTCCCAATTATCTAACTTAATCACATAATTCTTACCAGTGTTCTTGGGTTTCACAACAGTTCCACTAACATAATCCCACAATCTTTTTCCCTTTTGAAAGTTCCTCATCAAAATATTCCAATATGAATAAATTTTACCATTTAATCTGATACTAATGGATTAAAATTAAGCATCCCTTTGAGTACCAAATAAGCTACTACCAATAAAAAAAAAATCAAATTCCAAGAAAAATAACGACAACCAACGTACCACCACAAACTATCACGGGAATATACTGCACAATACACGTATAATCAAACTAATACCACCAAACGATCAGAAACTCACGAAGGAACAATCGGTCTCTTTGAAATTGCCTCAAAAAATGCATAATGCGCCCTTAGGCGCCGTCGGAATAACGTGTGTGGTGGTACACGCGCCGGTCAAGTATGGTCGTCTCATCTTCGGGAACACAAATATGGTCTCCAATCTTCAAACGAAAGTTGGTTTTGAGAGACAATGTGTATTTTTAGTGGCGGCTCAACACAAAGTTCGGGTTTTTTTTTTATTATTATTTTCAATTTTATGGATTGTTTAAGAAGGAAAGGGATGAAAGAATCAACTTCAACACACATATTTGGGCTTTGATACCAAGAAAACAATATAAACTAATTTGATAAACTAACCAAAGGAGAAAAAGAATTACGAGAAGGAGAAGAAAGC